AACACTGCTCACATAACCGTTACTTTAGTTACTAATTATTTTACAATGTATCTTGCAATTATTAGCCATAGACCTTATTTATAACACTACTTTACACATAATAAAATAAATAAAACCTAAACATAACAATCAAGTATTTACAATTTTCTTAACCTACGTAGTAATAATTAAAAATTAATAAAAAAAATTAAAACAAATTTTAAAAGTTTGGTCCCTGTGGCAGTGTACCTTGAACGCTGGCAGCATTTCCTCGCTGTATTGCGATACTTATTCGTTGAGCGACTAAAGCACCAGCTCAAGGTCACCGGTAGTAACTACCATGTGCCAACTTAAATCTTTAATTAGCACCTGTGCACTTGAATCCCACGGCCAAAGGAAACAAAATCGAAGTTGGAGAAAAGACTTTTAAATAAATAAATATATATATACTAGCAGACTCGGCCAAGCGTTGCTGTGGCTATGGTTGTTGTAATACATAGTAGTAAGCTATTCAAGAGAAACGGTATGTGAACACCAGTAATGGGGACCACCATGCTTTTTGGCGGTAATGCCATCAAATTGTAGCTTATGTGAAACTTTGGTACTTTCAACACAGCGCCATCTGTTAGAATTGTGACTGTCAAAAAATTTGCAATAAATTAATTTTGCGGGTATAAATTGAGATTTCAGCTATCCTATCTTTTAAGTTAGATAAAACTGCACACGGTATGCAAATTTGATTGAAATCGGTTAAGTAGTTTAGGAGTCCATAGTGGACAAACAAAGTGACGCGTAATTTATATATATTAAGATATTATATTTTAGACAATTTATAAAATTAGACACCCATTTTTTGCCATAAAATCCTTGTGCAATATATAAGGCAGGCATTTTTTTAAAACACCAATGTTTGTTAGTCGTCGTTGTAAACAAATAATTACAATTTTAAATGAAGACTTAACTCTTTATCTTTTCTCAGAGCTGTTTGTGTGCATTTAATTAGGGTCAGACCCTTCTCTTGCAAGTTAATGAAGTGTAGAAACTGATATTATAAGCAATACAAATTTAATACGAAGAATTATTAGCGCTTAGGAACTTTTAAACGTTTAAAATGGCCGAATATTATTTGATTGATTTATGTTCATAGCCCCGCCTCCTTTTGTGGTTTTATCGATCCAAATGCTCAAAAGCATTTATCAATTCCAAATGTATTTTATCTATAATCCAAACCTGTGTTTTTAATAGCACAGAACAGCCTTTTAAAGCACTTTCTATATACAATCTACGAGTGGAGGTTAAGTATGCTGGACCTGGGCGAAAGTAAAAAACTGTCAATTCGATTATTAATAGACCGAAGTAATTCTTACAAAATTAGCCATAAAAATGGGGCCTAAAATAAGGAGATTTTATTACGGCTTACCGTTTAAGTTAAGTGATACCGCCGCCCATGGACACTCGCCAGAGGGCTCGCGTGTGCATTGCCGGCCTTTTAAAAATTGGTACGCTCGTTTATTTTTTTGAGTTATAGAGCGCAGAGTTGTCAAGAATACGAAGGGCAGCCTGTGCGTCCACCAACAGATGCCGAGCGTCCTGGTGGAGGACACCCAGAGGGGGGTTCTCCACCACGAGTGCGTGTGGAACCTAAGGTTGTTTCTGTTACTACTTATTTTTAAAAACTTTTTACTTTTCGCAAATACAATAATAATAGAAATTCAATTAAAACTGTTCCTATTTAACAATGTTAAGTCACGTGACAACCATAGCCAATAATCTTAATATTCAGAAAACGGGAATCTGGGAATGTAAAGATTCTAATAGCAGACTCGACCTGCATGTTAATAACCTTATTTGCAAATTAACTTAGCACATTAAAGCTATTTAAGTATGTGGTAGCAGAAATACGTGTGAAAACTCTTTATTTTGCCAGTTAGTATTGCGTAGAAATGCAGAAAAAAACTATTGTCTGATCAACGGCATGTTACACAACTTCCAATTGTGATAGTGATTCCGATTTCAATACTGAATTTTCGCACCAAATGATTAAAGTTTGCAAATGAATAACGTCAGCGCTACACCTAAATTGGGTTTCGTCCTTAGATAACGTCACGTGGGGTTTAGGAAATATTAAATTCAACCAATTGTTGAGTCAAAGTCTTCCTATTCTAATTTTATAAGTGGCTAAGGGGACTGGAACCCCCGTAACTATTTTAAATATTTTAATAGAAGCAGCATTATGTTGATATTGTGTACATTTCCTTCAATTTTTTTTTCTATGATTCAAATATGTCATGCGAAATGCCACAAGGTGGTTATTCCAATAAATATTCCTGGCTAGTCCTTTTGTATTATAAAAAGTAAGAAACAAAGTCTATAAAATGTAATTATGGTTCCACGAAATCTACGTGGGCGAAACTGCTTGTGTGTAACTAAACACTAGCAGTTTTAACATTTCATTGTTATGTGTTTTTATAAAAGAAATAAGTCATGATTAAACGCTTTATGTGAACCAAGAAATGGCCTTTAATGACATTAGCGTAAAAGAAAACAAATTATACATGGATAAATACGTTCTCACGCCTTAGTAGCCTTAGTGATATTAAATATTCTACAAAAGAAATAGCAAGAACAAAAAAATACGCAATAAACGTTACCTGTTATAACAACGATCACAAAAATTAAATAATAAAATGGCGACTGGTCACCAAAAATCATTTCAAAATAAGAAAAAATAATGAGAAAAATCTATAATATGTAATAAATATCGTCTCACCTCCTTCGGACAAGCAAAAAAACTGGGGCGGCCGCAGAGCAGGCAGAAAATAATAAACGGCACAAATATAAGAGTATTTCCTCCAACTTCGATTTTGTTCCCTTTGGAGTAGACTCTTGGGCCGTGGGGTTCAAGTGCACAGGCGCTTATTAAAGACTTAAGTTGGCGCCTAGTAGATAGTATCGGTGACCCCAGAGCTGGTACTTTCCTGGCTCAACGAATAAGTATCGCAATACAGCAAGGAAATGCTGCCAGTGTTAAAGGTACACTGCCACAGGGACCAAACTTTTAAAATTTGTTTTGATTTTCTTTTTAATAATTTATTATTATTATATACTTTATAGGTTAAGAAAATTGTAAATACTGTATAATTATTCTTTGGCTATATGTTTCGTATAATTGTTTTTTGTTGTATATAATTTTTGTTAGTTGTAGAATTACGAAATAATTAAATAATATGGTTTTAACTACGTATATATTATATTTTATACCAATATGATATATATGTATATAAATATAAATAGCAGATATAATATACAAGTATAACTTAAAATATATGTCAATAATATTTACAACATTATACGGTAAATTGATAAATAAACAATTGAACATAACGTTATTTATAATAATAAAAACGTACTCAAAATTCTCTATGTGTACTGGTATCGTCCATCCATATATTTACACTTAAGACGACGTAAACGTGTACTGATTTTGTAATTTATCAAAGTGGATTTAAAGGTTTATAGATCTTATTTGATAAATGAAGAGGCAAATAGGAGATATCAGTTGGTAAATAGTCCCGCCTTTAAACACCCAAAGTCGGCCTTTAGCGATATTAGGGTAAGACAAAGAAACAGGACTTAGGGCTAAGTGTGTGGAAACGTATTGGAGTTTGACATACGGGAAAGATAGTTCATGCTGAATTTCGACTTTAAATCTCAATCAAAAGGGAAAATTTGGGCCGGTGACGAAAAGTTGCGGATCGCCACGTAACTTAGCAAGTTTTAGGATGGTGAAGGCAACCTTTTGACAGGACTTAATAACTTTTGCGGAACTTACACCTTTTAAAAAACGGCTACTTATTCGAAAACACCTATCATTCTAAAAAAATTGATGTTAAGACGAATTAAAGTTCTGTATAAAATTGATCGGCTGATAGTACTCAGTGTTTATAGTAATTATTAATCCTTAAACTCTAACTTTATAGATTGCTTGAATCTCAATACTTCTGCCTGTCAAAGTAGATTACGTAATACATATGTTCTGATATACCCAACCTCATATTTCTATAATTCCTTTGAATCAGTAAGCCGCCGATAGAAAACTATTGCAATTGAGAATTTTAATATCTACCGAAAATCATACATAATAATTTCGAATATACCTGTAAGTAAAGGTTTGTATGAGATAATAATTATGAAGATTTAAATAATTTTATTACAAGAACTGAGTCACGCCTTTATTCGGCACAGCCAAAAGCGGGTTAATCGTAATTGCAATATTATAACAATGGATCAATGTGACCTTCGCAGTTATTAAATATTGATTTGGCATTTCAAGACCCAACCTATGATCTGGAATAAAAACGTGGGATGATAATCGCGTAGGCGAGCACCCCTGGGGAGTGGAACTTGTTTCATTATACTATATTTCGCGATTTCGTCATTTATAATCTATTAAGTCAAATATAGTAATTAAAATTAGATTCATGAATCTATTTTTTCGTAAAACCTTCAGAGGATAATTCTTTGAATATTTTATCTTATATTATTATTATCATAAAACATTCGATATAGGTAGGATATATTAATAGGTTTTAGCATAACATAACGATATTCCTAAAACGATGATCACATCTTTTTATTTGAACTCACCTTGAACCTTTTTATTGTAACCAAAATTCCATAACGTATTATCAGATTAATACATAGAAATCGTGTCAATTTCGCATCTTCACACTAGTAAGTACTGAAGCGGCGTGTAAGGAGCAAAGAAACAATGGCTATAATCACTGAGAGAGAGTTACACGTGCACTCTTCCGGTCCATTAGCATTGAATAGCCAAGCGTGCCCGAGCCAGTATCATTGTCACACGACCGCCATCAAATCTACACCAGACCAAGATTCCTCCGATACCAACCGTATTGTTCTCCATTCTACGGTAAATTCAAATAATAGCCACACACGACACGTACACAAAAGGTGATATAATTGCTTTGAGGAAAAGGTATCGTGATATAAAGATCCGATTACAACATACGTTCAATAATTGATAGCCGTGATATAATATAGAAAGCACTCACCGGCAGTTCCAAGTAATCAGCTATGGTGTGTTTGGCGGCACCGCGTCTGATGTCGGCGAGGGCAGTGAAATGTTCGTCTCGTCGCATCTTCCGGCGCAGCAATGCACGTGCATACGGATACGCGGAAAGATATTCACCATATGCGTCCATTAATTCACCCATAAATAATTGCCTCAATAGAATAGTACTCTCATTCATTTCAACTTCCGTAGGCGGCGGCGGTAATTCTCTACATTTAATCAGCTCTGGAATGCTCTTCGTGACGAAAGTACTTAAGCCGCTCGTAGACTCGCAAGACGTGTACGCACCAGTTGAATCACTCGAACCGCACTTTGAAAATGGAAAAGCGGACGAGGTTCCGCTTTTTTCGCTACTGACGGAACTCTGACGTGTCGTGCTCGACTTTTCATCGAAGTCCGGATATTGTGGCTCCGATTGACTTCCCGTTGACGGAGAAGATTCTGCGATAACATTGTTGTATGCGGAGTTTTTGATACAATCATATAAGTCTTCTATGGATTCATAAGGTGTCATGCTGCCACATGAATCACCATCTCGTAATGTCTCATAGATTTCTTCGTTACGTCGTGTCGCCATTGGTGTTAGCGCCGAGTCTGATCGACTTCTTTTTACATTAGGTACTTGATCGTATCCAAAATCAGATGGGTTTAAGAAATCCCATCTTACATTAGACCAAACGTTTTCTGTAATATCAGCGGATATTCTATGATCTGCACAACATTGACCACTTTTAATTGTCACTGTTGTAATGTTGTCTGTATTTTCAACGATGGAACTGTCAACAACAGATTCAGGGTTTTCTACTGGTATGTCAACAATGACCTTACGTAGAGAAACACCAGCAGAGGATGAGTTGGATATATTATCATCTTCTACTTTTTTATCATCATTCACTTGTTCGTTATACATTGAAGTAGTCATTTCAGAAGCGGTATCTACGTCACGTTGGGATAGAATGCCTTCTTGAATTAATTCAGTTAAAAGGCTCTTCGATTCGATTTCACAGCTGAGATTACTGTTAAGTAACTGCGAGTTAATTGACACAAGTTCACTGTTTTCATCCGCGTCTTTTTGACAATTACTCGATAATAGACCGGAGTCAATATATTTTCTCATGCGTTGTGTTAATGCTTCACTTGCTTCAGATACAGATTCCAAATAATAGAAGAGCAAATGATATTCTTCTTTGGTAATTGCAGATGCACGAAGTAATGGCTTTCCATACAGCTCAACGGCGGAGAACAGGATTGACGCTGAAAAAAAACATGTTTTTATTTATTTATACTTGTGTAGAAAGCGTTTCGTTTTCTTCTAAATTATTCAAGAAAAACTTAATGTTTAACTTTCAAATGCTTTTGGATAAAAACCAAAGCTGTATTGCCATAAAAATTGCTCGACTGTTATGGTATCTTGTTAGAGTGACGAAACTTGATCGTACGCATTACTTTCAGGGATTCCAAGATAACATTTTGTTTGTTGGGTTTTGGTTTTCAATTGCTATTCCAAGAAAATAAAGATCAAGTGCTTGCTAGATCAATTGGTATGGTGGTCACGGCGTCTGCATTAGCTTTGCATATGAGTCGAGTCGCTTCTTCGAAAGATTACCGGACAATAGCATCGGCGTGCGTACGTTTCAATATTGCCAAACCGCTTTCTACAAACACAGTTTGCAGACGGAATACCTAATACTAGGCTTGTATTATCGAACGCAAGGGCCGGGCACAGTTTACAACGGAAATGCTCTGAGATATGACTAGCTGCCAAGCAAGTCAATGAACGCAAACTCATTCAGGCCTCTTCAGATTGAATGAGGATGTAATGAGAAAGTTCAGCCAATTATAAAGTGTATAGGTGAAGGTATAGAAATGTCTTTATGACTCAGGTGATAACCCGCTTTATTGATGTTTTAACTGAACTCTTAGGTTTGATTCTCGGGGGGCTGACTCACGCGTACATTGGGACTTAGGGGTATCGTGTACCCTATTTAAAAAATACTATTGAACAAAATTAATTTCCTTACCATACATTTTCTCCCAGGCTAGAAAGACTTCTAGATCCTTTCCATCCCATTGCGGTGGTTCATACTCAACTACAAGAACTTCACCCTCCAAGTAGACTGCTGGCGATCTAGGTTCAACTGGAGATTTAGAACCACCAAGAAAAAGAATTGCTGTTGGGGGAGGTACAGCTTCTTCAGGCGGGGGTAATGGTCCAGCGATGGGTAGAGCCAGAGGCGGTGATAGCGGCCCCGTGGGTAAGCCAGCTATTGAAATCCCAGCTTCTTGTAAAAGTTCACATATGACCTCTGCGACTGTACTATTTCCCCATACTGTTACCTGAAACCATTCAATATAGGCGTAAAGTGGCTTTCTTATTTATTAAGGTCATTAAATAGATTTGTATGATAAACGATTCTTGTAATTTGAAACATTAGAATGGCCTTTGCGCAAATTTATCCAAAACTAATAAAAAGTCAACAATTATGCGTTTGAAGCGTGTCCAAAATATATTAAATTCAGACCCTAATCGGAGTCATCTTTCGATATAAAAACATAAGCTTAACCATTAGAGATACTTCTTACAAACTTAACTAAACCGTTAAAATTGTATAACCAGCTACCGAGATTTTATAAATATTATTCATAGTGTCATTATCATTTATGTTTATATTATAAAGTAAATTTAAACTGTAAAAACTCGTTATGTAGGTGTGAGGTGAGATTAACTCTTCAGATACACGGTTTTTAATATTACGAGAGTATGCAAGAAATTTTATGATTATATCTTAATTATTTGCTTATGTTGTATAAGTATGGTGTGGAAATATAAAGTACCTATATGATTGCGATATCTTAAAATTAAGAACCACGAAAAAATATAAAGTAAAGAAATTAATTATGGGATACCATCATCATCATATACGTACGCTTAAGGGTCTGTATTAAAAATAAGGGAGGTCATTTCGAATAATTTTATGCTATTTCTATTCCTTAATAATGTATGACTATAAATTGATATATCACTCATTAAAAACTGATCAGTACTTTTGTTATCATTATTTCCACTTATGACAGAACTTTGGGTAACTACGTATGGTAATGTGTCTTATTTTATAACAAAAATCTTCCTGTTGTCTTGCTTGGATCTTTTAAACAGACCAACAGATTTTGATGCAGTTTTCATTTGATAGAACTAGAAGAAAGTATCTCTCTTGTTTATATGCGTAATTGTTTATGGGAGAACAAGGGCAAGCGCACTAAATCTAACCACCAACACTTCTGGGTAGTAACATAAATAACATGGAACAAAAAGGATGAAGTACATATAATAATTAAATAATTCTAATTTAATATAACAGACAGACGCTGTATCCAGTATATAGTTAATAATATATCTGTCTATAGATATAAAAATAAATTGCTGTTCGTTTGTCTCGCTAAAACTCGAGAATAGCTGGACCGATTTGGCTCCACTGGAAATATTTATGGAAATTCAGAATTCAATAAATAATAAGTGAAGAAAAATACAAAATACGAGATTGAATTTTCCAATTTTCTTAACTATTTATAGATGCCTATAGAAATGTGTGTTTCATAGCTGTAGTATGAGGTCCGACATCTTTAAAAAACTTTGTATTAAGTTTTGACACAACTATATGTGTGTGATACGTTGTTCACCGGACTAGATAAATAAATATGTAATTGCTATTTTATTTTTTATTAAAGTTATAAGCCAAAGAATAATATGCTATTTTATCTTTACCCATCTAGAAAAAATTACGAACAGCATTAAATATTTTGAGTTAAAATTAATTGAACATGAAAATCTCGTGCATCGAATTCCACCTTGGAAGTCGATTCCCTAAAATGGAGTAAATTTAAATTCAGGAATGAAAATTGGACAAAGGGAATGCGTATACATTACAAGACACCGAGCGAGCGAATTTAATTTACACTTAATATATTTACGATTTTATATTAATTCCAAAACAAAGAATTATTTATTTCTTTATTTTGTGTAATTATTTATTTATTTTGCTAACTCAGTTTCCGCACTTAGACGCTCATTAGGTCCGTTGTGCGTAAGTATAATTCTACTAAATCTAATAGCGGATTATCTTACAGAAAATCTATCTTAAACGCAAATGTAATTTTACGAAAAAGCGTTTCTTTGCTTCGCATTATAAGCAATCATACAACCAGGGGATTTAATTAATTACATAAAAATGTTCAGTTCGTGACGGAACTTAAAGCTGTAATTTTAAAAAAAACTCGGCATTTTTATTCTAATTACTTGTCAAAAATTATCAGTTTTCTACGGTCCATTGAATATAAATTAATATATCTGTAAAATCAATCAAAAAGGGAACACGCAAATTTACATACATAAGAATACCAGCCTCTGGAGGCATCTTAAAGCAGATATCTAAAGGACCTTGACTGGGTTCAAGGAGTTTTTACCGGTGACGTCACGCTGGAGTTATGCGCCCGCGCCGCACCCAAAACGAAGCCTACGGGATAACGCCTTTATAATTACATTACATCTTGGATTTGTTGTAAACGAGAATTTTAAGTTCTGTTTTGTTGGATTCAGATAAACATAATGACGAATACTCTTAGTACCTATATTTGACAGTTTCGAAAACTGACAATACCGTTTTGACGTTTGAATATTTGAGGAAACAATCGTGAAGCTTTTACTTAGTGAAAAACACTTTCCTCGTGTTGGCAAGTATTTATTAAACTATGTCCTACCACCTCTGTCCGTCTTATACCTACATGTTTATTGTTTATGTAATAAATACATTTCGGTATTATTACACTCTGTTTTTACTGATAAAGCGTGTCTAGTCCCGTCAATCATATTACTGAACCTGTCCGTGAGTTGTAAAAAAAATTAAAAACTTATAAACTTTACAAAATTTAATTTATGCTCAACTTTTTGGCTTTTATTTTGCGCTGCGATTTAACATCGTCAAATTTAATTATCTCCCGCCTTTTCTGGTTGATGAATATGGGTATTGACCATGCATTATACGCGTTAATCATGCAACGGACAAGCAATTTATTCGTTACCTGGAAATCGAAACTGCATGCAGAATGTTCGCGTAGAACGGTAGGCGGAAAATTTAAAGACATTTATTAATTTAGATATTTATGTTTCAATGCTTATTAAGGTCATATCAGTTGTATATTTGTATCAAATATTTTAAACTGCCCATTATAATTTCTAGTTAGTAGCTTTATTCTGCATGAAATAAATATTTTACTTCAAATCAATACGTAATAAATCAATAAATAATTTCGTCGTATTACATTAGATATTAAACATTAAATAATAACAATAAGCTTTTATTTGTCTCGAGTATGGTACACAATCATCCTTCACAAAGAATGCACATTGTCGGAAAAAAGTATAAAATATATTGAAAACTTTCTACATTCGTCGTTCTACGTTTAGCGCCACCTAGTATAAACATTAAGAAATATCAAACTGATAAAAGCGCCATCTATTAAAATATGTTTCAACTAAAATGAGATAAGAAACACGGAGATGTTAATTATGGACATAATTGTAAGATGGCGCTTAAGTAAATTTTTATTATAAATAAAATTTAATTAAGGGTCAAACCCTTATCATACTCAAACTAAATTGTAGTTTCCATCTAGACATCTATTATTTTAATTTTGTCTGACGACACGACACCAACGATGTCCTTTTCTATAATTTTTAAAATGATAACAAGGTATTGAATAAAATGTTAATAAGAATCAAACGCGTATAGGCAGTCTCCGTATGTCGCAATAAAACGTTTCATAACATTCGCGGATAAAATATGAATTGAGAGCAACAACTTAAGAAATGAAGCATGATTCATGTTAAGAATTCACTAATTATGTGGTTGCCTACTTATTTGATCTTTAATATACCTACTTCATAAATATTTAAAAGCATTTATTGACACCAATTTCGAGTAACTTTCAAATTATACAGATGGATTAGATAAAGTAATAGATCTATAATATTGGTAAATAATTATTTGACTCTTCATAAAAATGTTATTAATTAATAGTGAACAAAAATGCTTTGATGAAATAATTTAGTAACACCAATAAGTTATTCTCTCTGAATTATTATTTTTTGTATATCAATGCAGAGATAAAAATGTTTTTAACTTATGAATTATTACGTTCCAGTTTAACACATGTTAACTATTTAGTAAAAATAGGTCACTGTTCGTTCAGATTATTGCAGTTTAAATATGGGATTAAGGAATTTATTAATAGACAACTTATAATATCACGTTTATACTTTTACAATGAATACAAACTTTTTTATTGTCAAATATTTACTCTGACATTGTCCATGGTAAAAGTTAAATAGTTTTTGTCTATCCTTTCTTTCAGGTCTATATTTCAAATCGTATTCGCATAGCCAATATTTTCGCGGTTATAACGATATATATAATCTGACAGTTGACCATAATTAGATTTTTGGATCTATAATTTATTTAGAAATTCCAAGCATTAATTAGGATTTAGGTGTAACTTTCGTTAAAATTAACTTCTTTCACTTGTGCGTTCAATATAACCAGCGACAGGTCACCGACTGACATACTTTCTGCGGTGTATAATTAAATTTTATCAATACAAAAACATATGTGGACGCATTAGTAGATTATATTTTATATAATGTTTTCGCTTTCAAATTTATTACACGGCACTAAATTGCCTTTGAAATCTTGTCGCTGTTGGTAGGAAACGACCTCAAGTCAAATTTCGTACATCATACTACTTTAAGTTAAATTATTATCTGTCTTCCTCCCAGGTATTACATATATTGCCTAGACTTACAAATCTCTAGACTATTCAATTCCACAATCTGACTAGATATGTACATAATAAATTGCTAATGCAATGGATTCGCGATTCATTCGTTTTCTATGAGGACATTTTAAGGTTAGAAAGAAATTTAATTAACAACATAGAGTATATATCATTACTTTTTACGTCTATCTACTGCACATGTTATATAAGTATATTAACGTAGGTACGTTTTTTTAAAAACTAACAGCCTTTATAAATGTTGCCAAAGGGATTGCGAGTGTGTTATTATTTCGCTGGCCTTTTATTGGTTACGATATGCGTTCTTTACCAGTGTGTTCATAACATACAAAATAAAAGATTTTTTTATCAGAACTTATTCCAGTTTCTGATCTAGTTGAATCTTCTATTGTACACAAAAAATATTTTGTTTGGCCGCATCGAAGAAACCAGTGCGTGACCAATGGGCAAGGCACCAAAAGGTGAACATTTGTGTCCTTGAAAATGAAATTATTAATTATAGAAAATAGAATTTTTAATAGTAACTTTGTTGAAACTTCCATACATCTCTTTTCCATGTGAATTACATATTAATTTAAAAAACAGTGACCGTGCCTACTGAGACGGGATAATATAACAATTTTAGATTTAAAGCAAACTTCGTTTAAAAGTACATCGTGGACATACCACACTTTTCCTTGTGTTTAGTTCCACCTTGGCTTTATATATAATCAAAGATAATAATATAGTATGGATCAATGGCCATCCAGTGTTACACTTTCGTTAACAAAACGATTCGTAGTTCAAGCCTCGTTAAACAGAGGTGGAAAATCGTTTCCGATCTTTGTCAACCCTTTGCTACCTGTACACTTTCTACGACATACTGCACGAATTCTACAACGGAAATGACACGGTCTCTTTACGATTGCTCGCTACTTGTTTGTTTTTCTTTTATCGAAAGGAATGTGTTATTTAAATGGATTTAAGTTACAAGATTATACAGACTGAACATTATTAATACTTGTGACAGACGCGTCTCTTGTCTCTCATCTGTCAATACTAAAAAGCAAAATGGCTGCCCATGTAGTCAATGGTTTCTACTACTATCAAATAATTTATAAGAATGAATACAGATAATATATAATATTCAAAGCATGAAGCGATAAGAGCGCTAAAGCTTCTTAAATAAAAGTTAAATTATGTTTTGAAATGTATTTTAACTTGGGGAGGGTTCAAGTATTACGTAACGAATTTGGGGGGGGGGTCCTTTTGTACAACGTTACGATGCGTGGCGGGGGTTACATTAAGCCGTTATTGTTAAATTATTTGAAACTCTCCAGTACTTTTACACTTAAATGGTAACTTTTAGGTATAAAGAGTAAGAGAGTGGTCACGAAACGATTTACTATACTTGGGTACAGAAAAACGTTACGGCGCGTTAAATGGGGGGTCAATAATCTCCAAAAATTGCGTGACGTAATACTTGCGCTCCCTTGCGTAAAGTCATTTGTGTCTATACTTGCTGTGGATAACAATGTTTGTTAGGATGAAGAGAGGTGTGGAAGCAGCGAAATGACTCAGTGACTAGACAAAAACAACCTTTTGTAATCATGACTACGAATTCTTTTATAGAGTTTTACGTTGTACATTTTTTTAGTTCAATGAAAATAACTATCTACAATAATAAAAAAATAGGTGTTGATCGTAGAGGGGTGAAAATTAAGAGTTGTATGTATTTTTGTATGTTGTATCATAAAAAAATAAAAAAATTGGGGTGGATGCCCCTTATCACTTAGGGGTTTGAAAGATAGATAGTTGCAGATTCTCAGACTTACTGAATATGCATAATAACATTCATAAGAATCGGAGGACTATGAGATAGAACATTGTGACACGAGAATATTATATATATAGGGATATCAACTACGCCTTTTCGAGTTTCTTGGATTTCATTTGTTGAGGAATATTTTACTAATGGAAACAAGATTTCGTTCACTTTTGTTTTCTGTATAAACAAAACAATGAAATTCTTATCATATGATGTATAATATGTATAAAATATGAAGGTTGAGTAATCAACAGTCCACAATGACCGTTCCGTTTCAATGAATCACATGCGTCTTCCATTTCCAGGTATCATAGGCACTGTAATGTTAGTAAACTAGTATTCTATACACTATGTTTGGCCGGTGGAGTTATTCAAATTAACCTTGAATCATTTGCTTTAACATTTTGATAACTATATATAGAACTAGAGCAGGGGCAAGATTTCTTGTTGGTCTTTGCTCGAACGGTGAAGGAAAACATCGTGAGGAAACCGACATGTCTTAGACCCAAAAAGTCGACGGCGTGTGTCAGCTGTCAGGCACTGGAAGCTGATCACCTACTTGCCTATTAGATTTAAAAATGATCATGAAACAGGTCAGAAATCTGAGGCCCAGACCAAAAGAGGTTGTAGCGCCACTGATTTATTTTTATATATAAAATTGTATAACATTCCATAGTTCCACTGTTAAATAATTTTGTAATTTTGGCTGACAGCTCATGAATCACAGTTCTATATGTATACGTATGTATCGTTCAAGTCCAACAAACCTGTTGGGACCCGCCTCAGGTATTCGCAGGCTGTGTAGGCATTTCTAGGCTATACTGGTATAGGGTATAGATCCTTATAGAAAGGAGACGCAGCCTTGAACGCCTCCTAAAGCTTTAACCGAAATTAAATGTTCTAAAATTAAACTTACAAATATATTAAAAAAGAATAGATATAGGTTTTATGGAAAAAATATGTTTACTGCAATCTTATCCGTAGGAATTTCTTTATGAGTCTATGTTATGACTTATTGCAGAATGCACACGCATACCAAAGCTCTCTTATTGAAGAAATTCCTTAGAGATAAGGGATCAATGACTTGTTAAATATAGATTCAAATTGAATGGCATTTATGGTTTACATAAATTTTAATTTATGAGATGATTTATTGAATATTATTATAGTTGTTACTCAAAATTAATAGTTAGTCTAAAATCGATACTTAATGCTAACTTTACATTTATAAGTTACTAAATCTAAATTTCAAGGACACCGAGAGCCATTTCTGCCAAAACCCTCCATCTTTAAGACGATACCAACTCCGGGGAAATAAATACAGATAATGTAACTTTTTCTACAGCTGTGATACTTTTTGACATCCAACACCTTTTGTCTTCAGTCACCGTGACCACGCACGCTGTAAAGCACGCGAAACGTCGGTTAAATTTAAAATTATGTTAAATAATTGTAAATTTATAATAATACATAACTTTAATCCGGT